TTTGAATATTACTAATGCATTAAAAGATGATTCCCTGCTTTCCTTACGTTGGAAGCCAACACCAATAAGACCAAGGAACTTACAGTGGATTATAGAAGGAACAGATCAAACATCCAGCCCTTGCTTATCAATGGAGACCGAGTGGAGCAAGTGGCCAGTTTTAAGTTTCTGGGTGTTACCCTAAAAGAGGACCTGACCTGGGGTGCCCTCATTGCAGCACTGGTCAAAAGGGCCCAGCAGAGATTATACTACCTGAGACTTCTCAGAAAACAACAACTGAGTGAAAAACTGCTGGTGACCTTCTACTGTTGCACCATAGAGAGCATTTTAATATACTGCACCTGTGTATGGTTTGCCAATTGCACAGTGGCAGATAGGAAAGCACTCCAGAGGTTAAACATCATTGTTCAGAAGATCACTGGTTGCCCTCTCCCCTCTTTGGAAGAGCTTTATAGCTCCTGCTGCCTTAGGAAAGTTCAAAACATTCTCAAAGATCCATCTCATCCTGGGCATCCTTTTTTTGAACTATTACCATCTGGAAGACGGTACAGAATAATAAAAACAAGGACAAATAGGCTAAAAAACAGCTTCTATCCCAAGGCAGTAGCTCTTCTGAATTCTTCTGTATAGTGCAGTGTTGGTGCGGTGTCGGGGTTTTCGATTCAATGTGAAAGATGTGTATTTGTGTTTATTTTCATGGTCATGATGTGCACTGAAGATGGTGTTTGATTTCGTTGTATGAGGTGCAGTGACAATAAAGTAAACTAAACATCTCTCTTCTTACTTACCAACCAGCCTCCTCCATCTATTTCCATGTCACAGAAAACCACCATCACTTTCCCTGTGCTTGGATAGATGTTGTACCAGCCAGTGAGAGTCTCTCCTTGTTCATGGAGCTCCTTGCAGTTTCTGGCTCTTCCCTCTGAGAGAAGAATAGGGGGGTTGGGGCGGGGATATATGGATCAGTTCAGATTCTCTCTGTTCTGAAAATATATGTGATGGGACAATTACAGGTTTCTATGCAAGAACTTCTCCAGTGGAATCACCATAATGCCTATTGTGGGAGAATGGATACACATTGGTGTGCAATAGTATTTAAAAATTTAAAGGAAATATTTATTTACTTATTTATACAAAATTATATGCCATCCATCTCATATCCAATGTAGGTATAGATAGATCCTTCAAGATCTGAATGAAACATATAGTATTTTAATGTGTAGCGGCTGTCTCCTAACTTGAGCCATTAATTATCAGGAAGGGGGGATTATGGGAGCTAGAGTTTAACATCCTTAGAAGACTCAGATTGGGGAAAGCTGATATGTGCAGATGAAATGCATCACAATGATCCTTAAACTGTGATCAGAGAATTTGTACTATTCCAAACATCCATTCTAGCCTGTTCAGGCAGTTTTGCTCTTATCCTGCGTGATAAAGATCAAAAAAGGGAGATGAAAATGAAGATAAAACCAAGCTGATGGCATTTGTGCCAGTTATCTGGGGGTTTGAAGTGACTGAATAAGCAAAGGGAGAATGCTTAGACATACCTTCCCGCTGACAGCCTTCTGAGCGGCAGGGTTCCCCTGTGGAAAGAGAGAAAAAAATGGCTTTTGAGCTGAACAGACTCAAGGCTCCAAGTAAAAGGAAATATGAAGATGAGAACTATTTCACAGTTTCTCCTCAACTTATAATCATTCATTTAATGACAGTTCAGAGTTACAATGGCACTGAAAAATGTGACTTATAACTTATGACAACTGTTGCAGCATCTCTCTATTCACATGATCAAAATTCGGAAACTTGGCAACTTGGCAACCTATTTATAATGGCTGAAGTTTTCCAGCATCTTGTCATCACCCTGGCAACTTTCTGATTATCAAAGCCGCTGGGGAAGCCAGATGATTCTTAAAATCATCTTACTAACTGACTAACCCTGATTTATCTGTTTAACAAGACCCCTTTTTATGCAAATTTGCTATCTATTTTCTTGCATAGAGGAATAGACATGTAGAAAATACATTTGCAAAGAGCTTGTCTTGCAGAGTGATCACCAAAGTATAAAAGTAAAAATATTTATTTGGAGGCCGAGAGACTTGGGATTTCCATAAATCTCCCTTATTCAAAAATGGATCTCTGGAGATACATTACCATTGTCTCCTTTGTCTCCTTTGTCTCCCTTTGGTCCAGCTTTTCCAGGTATCCCAGC